AAGGCTCAGAAACATCCCTGGGATTCTCTAAGCAGGAGCCCGAGAGCTGCTTTGGGCAACGTGGCTCTTGGACGTGGTGTCCATTCTGAATCCCATGCCTGGATGAGCTCATTTTAACTTGCCCTCATGTATCACTTTGACCTCTGGCTTCTTCCTTCCTTCTGGACAGGAAATGGTGATATCTTGTCTTACGAAGATGCTAATCGAGCCATGCAGATGGGTGTTTCGGGAATTATGATTGCAAGGCAAGTGTTTCCCCTTGGCTTCTGAGCTCGACTGGTGCCAGAGTAAAAAATGCATTGAAAAAAAATACCTAAACTCAAAACACAAGAAGTTTCTTCTTGGTGAAACTTTTCTTTGAAACTTGGTAAAATCAAGCAGCAGCTTCCTGTTGAAATTGAAAAGAAAAATTAAAGCAGCATTGGCTAGCAAATAAGTGCTGAGAAGTCTCTTGAGTTAGTTGGCACCTTCAGAAGCATCAGTCCTGGGAATAACAATGCACCTTTTTTTTTTTTTTAACTGCAGAGGGGCACTCATCAAACCATGGCTTTTCACTGAAATCAAGGAACAGAGACACTGGGATATTTCCTCCAGTGAGAGATTTGATATTCTCAAAGACTTCACCAGATACGGCCTTGAGCACTGGGGGTCGGACACACAGGGAGTAGAGAAGACCAGGAAGTTCCTGCTGGAGTGGCTGTCATTCCTGTGCAGGTAATTCTCCCCATTTGAGAGGATTTTAATACCACAAACTTGTATTATTTGAGCAATAGCACCCCGTGCCACTACCTCTCATTGCAGGTATATTCCAGTTGGCTTATTAGAACACCTACCTCAGAAAATTAACGAGCGGCCGCCTTACTACATGGGGAGAGACTATCTGGAGACACTGATGGCGAGCCAAAATGTGGACGATTGGATTAAAATAAGGTAATAAAGCCTTGAATTTTATTTAAATTGCTAGGAAGGGACATCACAGAGCTCCACAAAGTCACTGTGCCTGCATGCATCCTCCACAGAGCAGGGTGATGGCTCTGCCATCAGTGTAAGGAGGGGTTAACCAGTGCTTTACTTCGAGATTTTAACTGGGCTTGGAGTTGCCATAAAGAGCACACTCAATCCCTGTATCTGCTGCAGGAGGTCATCCAGTGCTCACTGCAAATCTAAAGTGGTTGATCTCTCTCACAGTATGCTGTTCATCCCAGGACAGTTGTAGGAACCAGCAGAGGAGAGCACAACGATGAGATGTCTTGGGCTTCCAACATCTGATCCCTCCCTGCTCTCCGTGGGCAGTCCCACCTCACCAGGTCCATACAGACTCCATGCAGGAAGGCAATTCCCATCCCTAGTTGAGGCGAGCTGAGCATTTCCCCTGTTTTTCATTGTCTGATTCCCAAGTTCACGCAGGAAACTTTTCCCCACATCTACATATCCTCAGGCACTGGCTTGAAATGACTTTGCAGCTAAAGCAAGAGCTGGAGCAGCCAGCTGCCATTTCCCATCTCACAGAAACAGAGATTATCAAAAATAGAGCATAGCTTCGGCTTTCTCTGGTTTTGCTAATCCTCATCCACTTGGTTGGTGCCATGAACAGCTGCCTAAAACCATGTTACACATACATCAAGTTTTGATCTGAATTTTTAAATGCCATTTTTCAAGCAGAACCTGCCCGCATTAGGCTGCCTAAAGCTTTATAACTCATGGTCTTTACACTGCCATGTAATAGACATTTATAGCCTTAAGAATTCAACATTTTAAAGCAATTTAGGTCTCTTCATTAATTCTCATTTTAAGGAGATGTTAACCAGAAGCGGGGTTCTCTGAGCACACTCAGTTTCTGCTTTTGTGCTGTAGATTCAGGCTCTCACTGTGCAGTCCTGTGCCCTATGGAAAGTCTTAGTGATGCTGTATTGAACCAGCATCCAGGAATTCAGTTAAACTTCCTCTACATAAAGAAAATTACTCTACACTGAAAATGCAGTGTGCGTTCCAGAGCGTAAAATAGCTGAAGTCTTAAGCTAGGCTAAATCTGATCACAGTAGAACAAACTTACAACATTTTAGGATCCAACCTTAATTTTTTGTTTTGGCACTAACATGGTGTTGGCTCTGCACAGGCACAGTGAGGGGTAGGGAGGAGCTTTTTGGAGGCTCCTCTTGATTTTCAACTTCTCACTACCAGTGGTGAAGCTGCTATTTGGGCCACCAAACTTAGGAGCCCACTTTGGCATCAACTTGGTCACTCTCCAGCAAGAAGGGCATCATCTTAACCTGGAGGCTGCATCCCTGCCAGTACCATGGCTCAGGGTTAAGCTCAGCACCAGAGGTGGTTTTGTGCAGCAGCCCTAAATATTTGGGAGGGTAAAGGTTCGACACACCTGGCTGCAGTCACCAGTGCTGTAGAGCCACAGGGCCATGTGGCAGCTGGGTACTGGTGGCTCTCATACTGAAAACAAACGTCTCCTTGGTTTTTATTATGTTTTTTGTTGTTGTTATTTCTTTCTTTCTTCCAGTGAGCTGCTGCTGGGACCTGTACCTACCACCTTCACCTTCCTGCCTAAACACAAGGCCAATTCCTACAGGTAGGGCTGACGAAGCCCTTTCCCACTGCATTGAGTCAAGAGGAGGTGTTCGGATGGTGTGTGGCAAGGAGCAGGGCTGCCCAGCTGTGCTCTGAAATAAAGTTTTATGTTTTTAGAAGTGCTGTTGTCTTCACACCTCCAGCCACAAGTTATGCAGGAGATGGCCTTACAAAGTTGCAGCCAGAGGTGCCAAACTAACAGAGAGCAATCTGCTTAATTAACAGGATATAGGCCAGGAGAGATCAGGGTGCAGCTTGGTTCCACAAAGCTCAGCTAAATTCGCTTATTCTTTTTTCACCCTGAAAAATACTATTTAAAAAGCAAGAAGCACTGGCACCCACAGCCCACAGTACGCATCTGGAGGGGCCAAGGTGCCCCGCCCCCGAGCCCTTCCCTCCCCAGCAGGAGCTGAGCAGGCTCTTGGGGCAGGGCGGAACAGGGGAGCCCAAACATTCCATCCCGGGAGACACCAGAGAGTCCTTGGCACCCAATGGCCAGCAGGGTCCAGGAGACACCAGAGAGTCCTTGGCACCCAATGGCCAGCAGGGTCCAGGAGACACCAGAGAGTCCTTGGCACCCAATGGCCAGCAGGGTCCAGGAGACACCAGAGAGGCCTTGGCACCCAATGGCCCACAGGGGCCAGGAGG